TATATACATTTATATATATATATATATACATTTATATATATACATAAAATGAGAGCAAAGGCAAATGCTGGACGAATGGTTAAGTGCGAAGGAAAACAGTAAAACAAGGGTTGAAATACCAGAACAGGAGAAATCCACATCTGTGTGTCTCTCAATTGTATTTGTTGTTGCTTTTTGTTGCCCCCTTTTCCTGGATAAATATAAGTAGATATTCTAATAACGATAATATTAATAGTGTGTTGACTCCATCAGGTGAATGGTTGGATAGACAGATAGGCAAACTCTTTATGTAAAATAGCATCTTTAATCATTTTGTCGTCATTTGGTTTTGATAAATGAAAGAGAAGCTTTTTTTGGCGTGCTAGAAAGTTGTTTAGTTTCTTTTAGCTGGCGGGAAGAAATCACACCTCCACATGCATATAGGGACGTGACATCCAAACACATACATACACAGATACAGTTGAAACGCCGGTATGCGCTTACATCGAAAAAAATCGAATAATCAACAACAACTCCAAACAAGTTTTGCGACACCGTCTAAATATATGTCAAACGCAATTTACGTGTATATTGAATAACAAATTGTATTTATTCATCGTCCATTTAGAAAAATAACACGGTAGAGCTTCAGTTTTGGCACACTTTAATGATTTAGATTAAATCATATTGCACCAAAATTCGTAACAACAACGCATACGAGCAATATAGATGACAAAAGAGTTGAGTACAACGATATCAACATTAAAAATACTACTTCTCTCTGACTGGGAAGTAATTCGCCGCGAGATCAGCACATGTGTATTCTTCTTTAGTCAGCCAAAATGTCAAAATCACGGCGATGTGAATTACAACAACTGCAACATCTGATAGAGAAAACAGCAAAAAGCGGAAGCATGACAGCAATAGGATATCATCAATAAAAGTGAATGGATAGGGGGACTTGAGCACAATTAGTCAAGGCACTTACTGATCATACATTCTTGCTATAAGAAACGCTTTTTTAATTGGGATGATCATAATTTTGATGTCGATAGGAAACGGAACGCAAAGAAATAGTAGTGAAATGAAAGTACCTATTATAGTAAAAAAAAATGGCTAGAGATAGCATTATTCTAATTTCAAGATATTTAGGTTCTAGCAACGGTGGTGGTCGCGCATATGAATGGATTTGGTAGAATAATAATCGGAGTAGTCAAGATGGCAACTGGATGGTAAGAGGGCAAAGTGATAGCGCCAATCGATACGATAACAAAAAGTCACACGAAGCCGGTCGACCACTGGGTTTTCGCCCGTCACGCCCAGAGCAAATACAGCAAGATGTAGAAGCCATTGAAAAGTGAGGAAGATGAATAAATCGAACAGTAAAAAAGGCGCTTTTTTATTTATTACAAAAATAAACGCTAATGGAGTCTTTATTTAGAGCGGAACCGATAATACCCTTGTAGAGGATCTGACATATCTCTATGTATTTTAAAAGTTTCGTTTATTTTCTGGTGGAATATTTTTTTAGTCTTCTACATGGTCAATTCATTTTTCACTGCAATTTGCGAACCTATAATGGTACAAGGCAAACGGAAATATTGTACCCTTATTACATCCTATCAAAAGCATTGTAATTATGGATTGAATGAAGATGTGTTTTGGAATGAAAGTTACACTAAGATGATGAATACTTTAAAGTTACATAAATAAAATCATCTGATAGCTTCTAGATTAATCTCAATTTCCCAAAAGCAAGAGAGCGTCCCAGGTGAAACCGAGGCCTTGGGTTGATAGGCGCTCTTCGTGAACTTGGTGGCCCACGTATTTGCTGTGAACTTAAGCAACAAAAATGACGTACGAAGCTAACTATCCTGCCATAGTCACGTACCTAGAAACTGTTTTCTTTAGAGAGTTTTAGGTGACCGGGTGTTCCGCAAGTGCACATATTACACTCCGTTGAAGCGAATAAAAGCTGGAGTCATTACTTATGGCTTTTCTTCCGCATGTAAAAAACGCCGATATCGCAACAATTATTTTAAGGACTTCTGTGTCGAACTGACCTGCTTGTTGCTACATCTGAAATTACAGGTTTAGTTGAAAATTAATGCGATATACTTGTGCGATTCAAGTCACCTTTTAAATTTCGAATACGCGTATTCAGTAGCCTTCGTACCTGTAGTGTCTTATTAAGAGGTGTTTTTAAAGCAAAGCTTTCTTACTAAATTTAAAGACGCAAAATATGTCCACGATTTCGTAAACCATAAGCAGGCTTTGGCAGGCCCCCAAACCTGTATTCAGTGTCATTGTCATGTGTTACGCAGCGATACTGTTGAAATCCCACAAAGCTGTTATATATATACTCATGTTAAGTGGACGAGAATTACGAGAACTGGAAATGTCCGAATCAGCTATGTGCAGCAACTGCAGTATATGACACCCTTGTAGTAGAAGTAGCTTGCCGACGAAATTTTCATTATATTTAGAAAATTCAAGATGCTCAAGTTGAAGTTGATTACTATACTAAGCTTGTGTAATTTTTCCATCATAAGGTATGAGTTCTCCACCTTTACTTGGTGTGGTCTCATATGTAATAATAAGAGTGTAACTCTTCCACGGCTAGATGTACAACTTCATTATGCATGTATAAATAAATGCAATGGGTATTGTCTTTCTTATGTCGGACTGGAAGAATAAACATTGGTACTTTGGATCTGTGCAAAGTCCATTTTGGACAAAGGTCAGCAAGCGGTTTTCGATTGTCCTCGGCGACCTTTATCCTCATTTAGGCTTCTCATATCGCAAGTGTCTGTGTTTTCTCGACTGTACCGATTGCGTGGTCACATTGACAGGCCACACAAACAGCGCACCCAGTAACCGCGTTACTGCTGGTAACAGCGGCAAAAACTAGATCCGCTGGTAATCAGGGGAAGCTGCTGGAAGAGCCGGGCGCCACTTTACCAATCTGTAGGCGCCAGTTCCAAACAACAAAAGCAGACGATCGTGAACAACAGTGCGTACCAGCAACAACGATTGCACCGCCAAACAGCTGAGAGTGGAGGGCCTTGTGATGTTTATGCTGCAGCCGCTGCAGCTATCGGGTGTCAGCTATCGAACTGTTTGTACTCTCCAGCGACCAATTAAATGAGGGCATCTGCAAAGCCCAGCATGTTGTTTTCTTAAGATGTATTATTAATAATATTGCTAATATTGTATAGTATGGCCCATTGCCACAAGGGTCGCAGCTAGAAGAAATCACAGGCACCACCTGTTGTGAGATCGCAGCAGGGACTTTGTAATCTTTACTACCAACTACCATTCCCGCCAGATTGGATCGTCCTTTTCAGTAAAGATGCAGCTGCTTGCAACTACTCAAAAGAAGATTACAATTGGTGCATGTTAAGTGTGCCTAGAAGTCACGCAGACTTAAGTTATACGCAGACAGTTATAATCTGCTTTATAGTGCAATGCAGTCAAGAAATAGCTAATAAGTGAAAATAGCTTCTATCTGACAGATGCCGTTGAGCCAGAAAGAAGAGGCGCGAAGGCTCAAGTTCTTACAGTTTCAAGATATTTGCAATGCCAGATCTCCACCAAAAACATGTAAATGATTGAGGACTTGCCTCCACAAGGAATCCATTGGAACACTTTTCTAGTCAGTAGGTAGTGACACGAGTGTTTTTTCCAACTTCGACTTCGTTGTTGCTGTCCTTCAGCTAGTGGGATTAATTTCAAAACAGTTCACGCAAAGAACCGAAGCACTTGCTGTGAAGTACATCTACTGAGCTTTTGCTCACGCGCACTTCAACGGAGACAGAGTGTAGTTCTCCGTGCAAACTGCTTGGTGATATCAGTAAACCTGTTGAAGATACGAAAACATCGGATGCCGAAAAGGAACAATCAAAAATTTCATTATCTAACCCGTTCCAGACAGGTAAGAATAACTTAATTTGTATACAGTCGATACGGCAGTGGGTTTCACCACCGTTCTTTAATATCGTTAAACATTTCATTGTAGACTTCGGTTCTGGCCATTTGAAATTGTTGATGAATTTCAGAATTAACAGTCGTTAGTCATCTTCGAATTGTTTCTCGCTCTGAAAGCATTCCGTTCAATTTGCGCGACAAACATCTTGATGCAATGAACGCTATGAAGTATCTTGGTGTACCTTATTTAGTAAGTAGTTTAATATTTTAGGTGACCCCTGATTCACATATTAGCCGCACCCTTTGATCAACAGAAAACAACTGATGAAATGGATTGGAGAGTCGCATAGCAGTTCTTTATTTTGTGAACTGCTTTCCAGCGTTTACAAAGTTCTACTGTAGCAACAGTATGAAGGATAAATTTGGTAAATAAATTAATTTAACAACTAATCGAATGATGAGTAATAAAACAGAAAAAGAAGAATACATGAAATAACGCGAGCTGTGTTAGTATTTAGAGCAGGCAGGTGAAGTTAAATCCCATTTATGTAATAATTAGTCACTTGGTACCGCGCTATGTCTTGTTCATGCTATTGTATGGCAAGCTTCCCCTGAATATCCTAAGCAGAGCTCACACTGCTTTTGTATTGTGAAGGTTTTGGTGGATCACACATTTTGTGCCTTTATCCTATGATGTAGATCAATTCCTTGATAGTGTTTTCGATTTCTCATGGTTATATAAAACCTGATTGTGGAGCCTATATTGCCTATCTCTGCGGGCACTGTCATTATCTTCAAGATACCGCCTGTCAAGACGGACAATATATATTAGATTGTTTTTAAACAAATTTTACAGCCGGCAATAAAATGTGGTGATAAGTGAATAAATTTAATTTATTAAGCTCGAGTCGATTTCGACACTCTAGATTTCGAAGTTCGAGCTTTTAATTTTTTTAAATCTATTGTTGGTTGAAATTAGGTCATATCAAATGAATATATAAAAGGGGATAGTTGCGTTTCATAGACTGTCCAGGTCTATTTCTTTTTGTGATTGAAACTTAAGCCCGCTTCAGAACCATTAGATCTTTTCGACAAATTTCAGTGGAAACTTATAAAATACTTCCAACCGCATTCATCAAGATCATGTTTTTCAAAAGATCATTTTTTATGAGCATGCCACCTACTTCAATACGTGCAAATTTGTTACTGAAGACAATAGTTAGAAACAGCGGCTTGCACTACAATCTGATAATATCATGTTCATGTATGAGGCTGTTATAAGTGAATCCGACAGACTTTAAAATTGACCATCCTATGAACTACGCACTTCTAAAAGTCTCACTCACAAGCTGTTAAATAGATAGTTTCAGTGAAACAATAAGATTTTTAAGCGACTTAAATTTGCGATATAGCGGAGCTTGAAGTTAACCAAATCTCGTACAAATTTCATACAAAATGATTGTCTGTGACTTCACTGTTAAACTATTAGGCTGTTACAGACGAATCCGGTGGATTCAGGTATTGAACAACCCTTGCTGCTAGCAGATGAAACTCGACTGCTAAATAGTCTAGTCTTCCGGAAACTAACGAGTGAAAACCCGCTCGAGTTCATTAAAAAAAAAAGAGTTTCTTCAAAGTCATACAACGAAAATTCATCAAAGACTGGTGAAGATGTTAGGCAGAGAGGCTTTAAGCGAAAGTACAGTGCATAAATAGTGCAAACATTTCAAGAAAAAAAAAAAGTGTTGAAGGCTAGAAAATAGGGGACCAGATTTTGAACCCCGAAGTGCAAGAACCTATTGCCACAACCGAAAAGGCTTTTGACGGAAGCAGAGCTTGAATTCTATGTGCTCTGTCGGCTAAAACTAGAATTTCGTGTGTGATGAGTCACATAATTATAGTCCAAATGCTGAAATTCGAAAACAGAGTAAAAAAATGGGTTCCCAGTGTATTTATTTCGGGTCAGCTGCAGATGCGTGTGGTGTATTCATTGTACCGTTTACAAAACCTTGATCAACGAAAAATCCACCTGCAGCATACACAAAACATGTTGCAATCTCTACCACCAGCCAGAAAGAGACTAAATGAGAAAACAGAGCTGCATTGGAGAGAAATCGACTTTGTTGGCAGTGTCAGGTAGTTACGCACATGAGGTGATGGTAGTATTTACAATGGACATCAGGCGGTATCTGCAACAATATGATGTTTGCCGAAGTCGAACAATGAATAAGCCCGATATCTCGAGTTCCTCTAATAACTTATGGACTCTTAACACGATAATCGAAAGCACGTAGTCTGCTTTCTTGATAGCAATACTAGATTTAATCGCCATGCGTCAATTTTAGATTGAGTAGAGGAATATTCAGCATTGATTTTAACTTGGTTACTCTTTCGGTTTGAGTCCGTGTGATTACGGGGCTTGCCCTGCTCCAAAAAGGGCAATTAGTGGTTTTTACTGTTGATTTAATTCGAGAAACTATGGTAGGTAAATTACATATCGGAACGCGAACGATTATATATATATATATATATATGTCAACTGCTCAAAAACTGTCAGAGCGCTCAAAAAAAGTGTGTTATCTCCAACATATATAAAAAAAAAAAACGATTCTAGTCTAACTGGTTGAAATGTTAAAATTTTATAGAATAAATTTGGAAAATTTCCGGATTCATTCGTAACAGTCTAATAGGTATATCATGAGGCGTAACGCCTGCACACGTAACATTTGTGTTCTCGATATATTTAATTCGATTCCATTAACTTCTGCTTGAAATTTTTTGCAAACAAATTGGGTTTCTATAAATAGATAAATACTATATTATATACCTAGACCTATTAGGACAAAAACAGTATCATGTTGCCAATATTGTGTCTGACCATACAGGCGCTAGATGTTTCCAATGTTTTTCCATAAACTTTAAAAATTACTAAAAGTTGTATAACCCGTATGTATTTTTTATGTGGAGAATGAGTCGGCAGTGTGTACTCTGCTCATTGACTTAATTGTTTTTGTTACATGAAGTGACGTACTATATACACTCTGTTGGAAACGGAGCCGTCATATTCTTTTGTGTATGATACAAATAGTTTTTTTCTGACTAAAGGAATCGAACAGGCCCTGTTGTATATGATACAATGAGAGGAATGATATCGGATACCTAGATCCAGGTTAAGTATAGAATAAATGAGCGGAATCCAGAGGAACTGTGTATTCTGAGACAAGAAGAAAAAATAAATAACTTTAAATTATAACGATACTTAAATAGATGGCCCACGCCTTTCATTTATTCATATTAAGCAGATGTGAAACAATATTTATTAGGCCATTCTTCATTACTTCGCTTTATTTTTTTCTAAAATCTACTGAACCCATAGCTCTTGAAAGTTGCTTAATAGAATGTTCAAATCTGGCTTCCTGCTATCACTTTTTAAAGGATAGAACTTCCACATGAGGTTCGTTATAAGTAGTACATTTATAGAATAATAATAAAGAGTACTTATCATGTTATTTAAGTGAATCAGCTTATTGACGTTTCGATTTTGTTAGATTAACTCTTGGCGAATACAAGAAGTAACTTCAAGAGTGCAATAGGTGCCATTCATAATGGCGGGCTAATCTTTTTTACATGATGCTTATCTTACCCTTTGTGCTGAACTCTGGGTAGACTCGAATTGGAATAGTGCACACCAATTGCAGTCATATTTCTTCTGGGACAACGTTTGTACGGGAAACTTTTTTTGGCAGTTTAACGCAAGTGCTTTGCAAATGGTGTATGTACGCTTAAATTGATAACATCATAGTATTTAGTGATCAAAAAGTCTTGTACTTGACAAATAGTCTACCTCTCGTTTTTGAGAAAACTAACTTGAATATTTAATAAAAATAGACAGGAGTGGTTAACAAATTACTGTGCGAAAAGTCAGGAGGACCCTTGAGTCAGCTGTAGAGTGGAAAGAAGCAATAAAACTAGTTTTACGCAAAATGCGTCCACTACTGCTTTGCCTAATCGTACAGAAACAGTTTTTTTAATTATTAAAAACTGATGCATTACTCAGAAAGTCGGAGAGCGACCAATATGGATTGAAGCTAAAGGATGAGCTGTGTGTTGGGTGTTGGTGAAATTAATTGACTACATAATCGTAGATCACCTTATGTTATAGCCAAAACTATTTACACATATTGTGTATAGAAAAGTATCGTATTTTTGTAATTTGTATTGTAAACCTCAATCCCACATGGACCATTGAAACAGACATTTTTTACCACTCCTACAGATATAGGAATATTGATGAGAAGAAACAAACGTGAATGAGGTGTTCTATAAATGTGCTTCATGTGCTATAAATGGACGCAACTGAGTTGCTCAGGGCTCTCCATTGCAGCTGATAAATGACGACAGAAGGAGCGCTTTATTTATAGCGATTGAACCAGTCTGTATAATGGGACCACTGAAAAGGATTGCGTTAAAATCAAATGTTGAAACAACATGGATAAACAAACCCAATGGAAAAATAAAATGCAATGGACTATTTTAAAGAAATTATATTGAGTGAAAACATGAACATAACATCTATGACTAAAAGATGACTATTGGAAGACGGAAGTTCCATGAAATTGTCTTTTTCCGGAATGTTTCAAACATTTCCATCAATCAGAAGAAAGGTAAAGAAAATCATTTTGCTTGCAGTTCTAATCTCTACAAGACTAATTCAGACTTGATTGTCAAAGACGTATCGTTGCCAAATGCACAGTAGATATATACTGCGTCTATCGTTCTCTTGACAAGGTCGACGACATATGTGACGCCGAACGGACAAATGTCATAGTGGGTTATTTCGATTTAGCGGGAATAGATTGGGAGTCATCACGTTACTGTTGTAATTCTAAGTAAGAGGCTCTTTTTTCAAAAATTTTTTTTCAATCTTCCAGGAAATTTTACTTCATAGTAGAACCCACACGGATGCATAGCAGCAATTTTTCATTAAGAAATAATTTTGACATCGTCCTATATGTCAATGACTCTATCGAGTAAGTATAAGGTTTACCTGCGACGATAATGCAATCACATTTTGTCTTTATGGGACAATAGACAAGGATAGACGGTTGTTTTGTGTTTTTGTATGATTATAAACAGAAGGACAATGAATTAATGAAAATGGGACTAGACTGGATCTACAGGAGTAGACGTCACTGTCAACAAGATGTGCTTCTAGTTTCTGAAGTTAATGCTTGTTCCTCGAAAGCTTCACATATCCATTTCTATTCTGCTGAATGTTTTAGATAGCTCGTTTATCTCACCAAAACGACACCTTATAGTGGGCTGCATTAAGCTGATTTTCTCTAAATTTCTAGAATTTCAAGCAGAGAAGATTTACGCGGAAGATGAAACCGAATAGCCAAATACTTTTCTGCATAGAGGGGAAACTTTGCTTATTTTTGAAGGGTGTCATGTTAACTTAGATAGTCGTCTACAAACAACAAGGTGGCCACCAACGTTGTCCGCCCACGCTCATCAGTGAGAATTGGTCTGCATAGTTGGGTTTGAACTGTATTGTGACAGCAGTTATTAGATTATAACTACTATAGATAATAGCTAGTTACTATTTGGTGTTACCGCCATTTGCAAGTAGAATCAGATACATTTAATAGCAAGCAAAGCGCGGCGCGAAGCCAGAGCCCTCGCCGGGCCGCCCGGTATCATAAACATGTCGTTGTTAACGCAAACCCCATATAATACGAGATTACCATTTTCACAGCAGATTTTCAATTTTTTAAAAATTAGATGTAGATATTTGTCACAAAAAACAAAAGATAAAAAATCTTTAAGTTCCGGTGACGTACCAGAGGCAGAGTCAATATTCCAGCCGAGGCAACAAATATTTGAGTCCTTTTTCAATACATTATTGTTTGACCGGAAAAAAACTCCTTCAGCCTTGATGACAACTTAGCAACGGAGTTAATGCGGCAACTACATGTAAAATTAATGAACCACGTATATAAGTAGTTTTGTTTTTAATATATAATATTCATTTAGTCTACTATGTGCAATTTGCTATGAAAAAGAAAATGATAAAAAACGCCCATTAAAGGTCGGCCAAAAGCCACTATTTATGTACGTCTTCGAGAAGTCCACCAACATTTATGCAATTCACATAGGTCTCGGAAACAGAATCAATGATTCAGCACTAAAAAAGCTTCGTGATAAAGCTGCAGAGATGTACCAAAAGCCAAGGGATCACAAGAACAAGACAAATCTATAATTGGCTGAGCCCTTGCAAACATACAATACTAGAACAAGCCGATGAACGAATTCAGTCAGATAGGGTAATTACTGTTGGTGTTTATGTTAGGCTGTGTGTAGTATAAACAAATCAGATCAGTTAAATCATCGGCTGAACAGGAGCGGGACGAAGCCCGCGGTTCGGCCAGTATATTCTATAAACTACTAAAAATCTGTGTCCATTTGTTTCTTGAAGCCAAAACAACATTTTAATCTAGTTAAACTAGACACTTCTATGGATCGCTAAAACTTTATCCAAGAAAGACCTGCGCGACAAATGGACCCGATTGGCCAACTACCTCTTCTTTTAAAGGCAATATTTGATTTTTCTCATAGATCATCATGTCGTAAACCGCGACTTCGTTCTTACCTTACATGTGCGAAATCGACGCCGCACCAGTGCTTACGGATGCCAAGGTGGCTGCCACTGTCACTGGAACTGATATATCATCAAATGTAAAAATGCGTATCTCTGACCAACTGTTTAAACTCTATCGTTGAAGAAGCTATTAGGCCGTTATTTGACGTTGCATCTATAATAATTATCATCCACATTTGATATTGTACATAGCCAAAATAAAACAAAAGCGCAGAGGGACTTATAGGTGGCGTGTTGTTGTGCACGTGAGGGGTGTAACCAGCTCACTGAAGATTAGAACAGTGGTAGATCGAGAAGAGAGCCGGAAGGGCGAAGTTCCTAACCAAAAAAAACTGGAAAAAGCTCGTTATGAAAACGGGCCTCTGTTTTCCAACGACACGAATTAAATGAAGTGGACACCTGGGTCGAAGAAACTACGATACAAGCGTTTGACGAAACTCGCTAATAAGCGCAGCAAAACTTTTGAAGGAATATCTGATTTCATGAATAGGTCGCTCTGCCCATGTAAACTACGGTAGTAATTAGAAGGAGATGGAAAGCTGCTTTATCGTGCTCAAGAGAGAGGCTGATTTTTATATATTTATATCTATATCATTTTATATAAAGATTATCAGAGTAATTTACGAATACTACTCTGTAGTGATTTAGTTATGTACTATGTTATGTATATTTTTGTAATAATAAGTCGAATTATGATCGTTGCGTCACCTGAATATTCTTCCTGGCCATTTTCACCATGATATGAAATATACTTATTATGCCAGTTAAAGAGGCAGTCGCTAAGATCCGCGTCAATACGCTTTTCGCGTGGACTACGAATAATATGAGCTTTGCGTCTGTTTGCTTACTTAGTAAATAAATAAAAAAGTATTGCTTTTACAGAGGGTGCCATGTCAAGTTGCAACAAACGTCACTTGGCTGGGGCAATGCACGTTCAAACAAAAATGTCTTTGGACCAACTCGGTAGAAGCTGCGGTCGTTCCTGGCATGTTGCACGACTAGTAACTGCCTCAGGCAACGTCCTGCCTGATAATCAACTCATTCAACGCCGTCGAATCTCCATAGTGGTAAGATTATTGTGTTGTGGCCCATTCTACATATAATAAACATCGCTAATGTAAGTGGTCATTGATTTTGTAAAACGTACAAAGTAAATAGTAGATCATGTGGCCCAATTGTAGAAATGGTCATGAAGTGGGTTAAAACACGCAAAAGAGGAGTTTTCCTTTTTCATCTGATTGAGATACCCGAAACCTTATTTTTCAATTTAAGTAGCTTTATAATCTTGAATTACGGAAATTTCTTAGTGTGCAAATGGCTGTCTCGGGCTACGTGTTTTACTTTAATACTTTTTAATCTAAATGCCGCTGGGTATTAGCAACAAACTTATATACTCGATTATTTTTTGGGCGTCTGCATATATTTTGCTGGTCAATAAGTTGCTGTCTATTTCTTTTGTCGATTTTTTTTAAGTTTGTTGTCATAAACTGATGGGCAAGCATCATATATCATTGGAAAACCTCTCGTTCGCTCAATCAGCTTTGTGCAATCGCGTTCTATGGTTCAAAACAAATTACCCTAAGTGGAAGATAAAAATTGGTGTTTTGGATGACAAAATTATTCGTTTTTCACTGAGATAAGAAAAAATGCCATTTTTTAACTTTGGGTAGGTGCGGAATATACGTTGATGATTTTGAAACTGAGGGTACCATTCAAAAGTGGCATGTAGAGTTAGAAAATGGCATGTTTACCCTGAAAAGCGTCCATTACCTCGGATGGCATCAGCCATTTCTGGAAAAAAAAAATGTTAACGATATTACATATTAAAAGAGCCTAGCTTTTTTTAACTGTAAAATCTTTGTCTTTCACCCAAATGTACATGACTTAAGTACTTTGAAGTTAGAATAAAATTGAGACAACAAATAGAACTAAACAGTTGCGACAAACCTATACAACAAAAAATGATCTTAACAATATATAAAAATTAATTATAGATTTGTGTGTTCTATTTAAATAATCAGTGTAGGATTGGTTCTGATATTCTGTTAACTATATTTTACTTTCGACAACGATGTTGTCGTAACAAACAAGCCGCTTTTTTTATTACCTGGAGTTTCACTGATGAGCGCTGCTGTAGAAGACGGTACCACGGTATAGTTGTTAATGCACACGGTAAACCTTTAACACGACTAGTCGGTAAATTACTGTTGTCGACGGGGTCCGCCGTGGACACGATTGATAACATATTGTTCTACACCTATTATGTTATAGCAGTGACATCAATGTAATCCCTCAGTTTACCAAAATTATATTAGTCGGTTAAGCCATACCTGCTGCTAAGCTCGTTTGATACCATATGTTCAAATTAAAAGCTTCGCAAAACTGAATGCGTTCTTCATTTTCAATGTTTCGTTTAACTGACCTCTATATGCGTTGAGTGTCGTTTCTACATTAAATTTTAATACACTTCGTTCAGTAATGTTGCAGGTGGTCAACAGAATTTTGTTTGGAACGTTTTTCAGGATATTAACACGGGACAGCGCACATGGAGTGGAACATGCAACTTCATAGACAGCTCCGTGGCCTATAAAAATGCAGGTTCTATAGATAAAAAACTTGAGACCCATAAAGACACCGGGAAGAAGTGCCATTCCTCCAAGGCTACAAAGTTAGCTAAAAGAACTGAAGACATCGTATTGGACTACGGTGGACAGTCGCATTCCAGGTTGGATCTCCAACTTGGAAATTCTGCGACCGAGATTAATGCTCGAACTATACAAGAAAAACAATGTAAGAGTGTTGATTATGTTCAAGTGGCTAGACATCATTGTGTAGATAAAAATAGACTTTCGCTAAATGAAGGTCACTTGAAGCTCGACCTAAAAACGGATGTAAAAATCGAACAAGCGGATGTATCAAAGCTTCTCGATGTGACGAACAAGGTGTCTGATCTTGTAGAGACTTCTGAAACAAAAGAAGTGACTAATAATGCTGTCACAAACCGAGAGGGAAGGCTGCAATCCCAAAACCAGATCAGAGAATGCAACTCGGATACAGATACCCAACTAGTATTGAATCAGGGAGAAAGAAAAAACACTTGCGATGACGCGAAAGCACAATCTAAGCCCGACTTTCACCAGTTAGTGATGCCGATGACCACTGACGCAGCTCAGAGAGATTGTTTACTCGATATGCCTAATACGGCGAAAGGCGTTGAAAATAGTCTTAGTCAAGTTCAGCAGGTTGTATCGAACTCCGACAACATTGACTCGGACATAGAAACTCAAGTGGTTCGGTTGGGCATATCCGGATCTTTCGTTGATTCTCAAAACAACGAAAATGATTCGACGGCGGAAAGTGGACAAAAAGGAAAACATTGCGTTGCGAACATTCAAGTCTCAGAGTTGGAACAATCTGAAACTTGTGGCGTTGCGCAGCACGCGGTAGTTTCCCATAACGGGTGCAAAAATCAGGAGCAGCAATTTGAATTTTGTGCTTGTGAAATCATGCCTAAAATAGTATACCAGAATAATGATGCGACAACCTCTGACCAACTGAAGACAGCGCGTAATGTGTTCAACGTCAGTAAGGATAAAGCTGAGCGAAGTCAACGTCTGCCGCCTGAATATGGGCTCAGGGTTCGTCAGTGTGAGAACTTGCATAACGATAAAGTGACAGCGCACAACGACGATGTAGACATTCAAACAGGAAATGAAAAGAGCGGGAGTCTTCAAATGCTTCCCGAAATCTATGTCCAGCAACCATTAATCGATAAAAACGTCGATATCCATAAAGTCGCGGGATCTTATAGCATGAAACAACATGCACTGGAGATTGCGGATTCTGATAACGTTCAAGGTATACTGTCTCAAACACGCGTACAGGAGTATATCAAGTTAAGCACGGAAGGTGCTCCCATTGTCCAAGCAGTGGATCGTACTTGTTCGGAAGCGGTACTTAATAATGAAGAAAGTAGAGATGATAAGAAAAATGGAATCCAACGACTACAGGTTAACACAGCAAATGACCAGCAAGCCGACCCCAGGTTGGGTGGAGAAGCGACCTGCTCCTCAAGAAATGGTGCTTTCGGCGAAGAAAAACAAGTGCCGTATATAAACAGTCTCCCCCAGCTAGAACCTCATGGAGACATGTCAGTACAATACAACACAGACATGTATAGGACTGCGAGAGCAGCTAGGCAAAGTATGGTTAATGAGATAGGTCAGACAGAGCAATGTCGCATTGAGGTTGGCGTTCAATCATTTCAGCCAAATCGGAACATCCCGATAGTCTACGGTAATACACAAAGTGTTGTTAGCATTCCATATTCACTGACGAAAACGGTGGCCAGCGTCGATGATAGAGCCAAACAGTCACCGCCTACATCGACAACCATTTCGCAGTCGCTATCGGCAAATTGGGAAGATCAAGCAGAAGTATCACCTTCATATAAGATGAAAAAAAGAACAGAAACGATGACGAGGGATGACGAGCACGGATTTGAAAACGATGCAACTTCGACTAAAACGGATGCCGTAATCGAGTCTGTCTGGCAAACGAGCGTGTATAAACCTGTCTTTGTTCGTGCAATTAGGCATCTGGAAGATGATGCCGTTCAACTACAGTGGCCTTATACACCGCCAAAGTACGAGCCAATGCATAGTAGCATGTCCGTTGTCATGACGAACGTTCATGAGGAGGGTAAGGAAACGGAGAACAAGGCAGAAGTGTTGAATCGTCCTTGTCACTGCTGTAGCAACACAGGGACAGCTTCCAAGAAAGCGGAGCCTTCTGACCACGAGAAACCAACACTGGCCACGCTTTGTGCTGAGAGAAACCCATTGGATTTACGCGTAGACTATTCAAATGCCGGCTGTAGCAATTTCAAAACGGAAAACCTACGAGGCGGCCGACGTAGCACGCGGAAGCTTACTAAGGATCTGCATAAAACGAGCTTTAAAAGTAGATCAGTTGTAAACAAGAACGTCTGGTTACCTAAGTTTACGCCAGAGGTTGCAGCTGAAGAACAATTTCGGGATTCTGAATGGCAGAATATACCAAGAGTCGCCAATACCATACCGGATCAGATATCTCGACTTACAACGTCGGAGTATGGATCCCATCACCTCTCTACAAATGTGTATGATTACGTTGAACAATCGGATTTTGAAGGTCACATCCCGTATCCGAGTCCGAGTGAGTGGGATATACCGTACCACGGCCCAGAATCAATGGTAAACCTTGTTGGAGCTAATGTTACCTTGGTCGCAGAAGCCAGCGAGCGAACGCCAATCTTGGGAGGGGGTGAAAACGATCTAGGCCACTCGAAGATCACTACAACAACAACAACAACGGCTGCAGACGAGGTCTTGGTTGGTATGGATCATACTGACCTAGCCCACACCAGTAGTTGCGACCTCAGTAATAATCACAGAGTCGACCTAACCACAGAAAATATGTTTCCAGCTATGCATACTGATGTAGGAGAAAACTTACTAAAATGCTTAACTGAGCCTTACATTATTACTGAACAAAAGGCTAAGCCGACTTCCATCATGGCGAGTATTTTTCCTGTCAATAAATGCCGAAGCTTTTTAGAGACACAAAATCGCTTGGATATAGGGGAGCAAATTTCAGGGGTATACGCAGAAGCGACACACTACCCACCTTCCAAATATGGACAGCCTGCAACAACTGGTGTTCAAGATAAGATCGCTGACCTGAGGTCGTCCTCATGTACCCCATTGATGATTCAATTCTCCGGCCCAAAGCCACAAACCCGAAATGAGCAAGGGTCCTTAAGCCCCGACGTCTCTGTAGGGTTGCCCGAAGGTCAGATAAGGCGACGCCAATATAGTTCTCTGGTAGACCTGAAATGTCACAGCGCTCTGACGGATCAGCCAGATTGTTTGATCTACACTGCAAATAACTGCAGCCGAAAAGTGAATAATCGACCTCGTCGAAGACAGCGTCTGGTGGAACAGTCGCTAGAGGCTATTCCACAACAATCGAAAGACTATATTGAGCTCTCGCCCAACACAGAGAGCCTTCCTCTTAAGATTTTTAATGGTAAGTCTAGCTAGGAGTTGCTTTCAGCTGTATGCCGTAGGCTAGAATGTGTTTTGATTCTGTTTTTCGTATTGGCTCAAGTTGCACAATCGGCAACGTGCTTCCGCACGCACAGTCTATTTAACGCACTTGGGTTAAAGTTTGAACTTTAAACAACGCGTAATTGAAGCCAGATCTTCCAATGAAGAAAAAACTAGAGATTGTTTGTAGCTATTTAAGGGTTAGGAGACTTTAGTTTTTATTAAACATAGTACGTTAAATGCCTTTTATATATATATATATATATATATAGGTAATGTTTTAACTATAGCTTATATGTTCGTGCTGTCTATCTCGAAGTAACGTGCCGCTGTTAGTCGGCCGCCTAATTAAAAACAATCTTTTATTATTTATTAAATCGTCGTATCTTTTCTATGAAATTTGAATAGGTGTTTCTGATCGACCTTCGATGAATACCGGTTCATCTCTTCCAAGCGCGGCTGCGAACGTTACTCAGACACAGATCAAAAGACCCCGTCTGGTAGGTTCCTTTATCCTTTGTCAACTAGCCTTTTGCGATTTGAATGTTCTTTAATGTTCTACTATCAAGGATTACAGCTTAATATATTTCGTAGTTTATTGGCCGACCGATCTGTAAAATTATCAACTGAAATACGTGACGCACAAAGGTCTTCTATATATTTACTATATAACCTATATTGAGCAAGGTTTTGCTACAATAAGCTAATTCTTCTATAATCCGAATATTACATCGAAATAAACGCTAAGACATAAACACAGCTTATATCCCAAAAAAACTAGAAGAACATCACGTGAAACTATATACTCTATATTCGAAATCACTGTTAATATCGAAGAAAAGGAACATTATCTAGTATTTTGCCCCGTAGTATTATTTTTTTTCAATATACGCAGGCTTCATTATTTTAAAGTTCGATTACATTGATAGCTTATTTCGTCTCATTGGTACGCAGATATCTATAGAGACGACCACGTTTTCAAGCCCAAATAACCATGACTCAACCGACCCTACGTTAGCTGTTGAAGTTGAATCGGAAAGAAGCTTGAACCACTTGTGTGCACCCCTCACTACCGAACGAACAAGCGACTTTAACCGCCATATGGAATCGTCTCACCGTTCGCAAGAGCTGGATGTCTCGAAACTTTTCAATGGAGATCTTGGTAAACACGCTATTGTCCTTTTTTTTTTTTTCGAAACGTATTTTAATGATAGATATTACTACAGAAATAAGTATATATATACGATTCGTCTCATTAGCTAGACTAAACATACGTGTGAAGCTTACTCGACGATATTTCAGACGACAACCAGGGCAACAAAGGTCGGACAGTACCTCTTCGTATTTACAAGGCGATAGAGTTCGTAATCACTTAAATAGATATAAATACCTATCACTTAGATACGACAATTAAACGCGTACTTACTTTTTAAATTACCGGATCAGATTTAGATCTTCCTGTATGAGGAAAAACTACATGTAGACGAGTCTCAGTAGAATATCTATCTTTATTTTACAGTATCAGCCGTAGATGCTGAACTTGATGAAGCACAGCGAAACTTCGAGTTTACGACGTGGGAAAATTTTGTCGGTGAGCTCATTTGTACACTGATTTCATTTGGCTAATTAACTGATAAATTAGAGGGTTTCCTACAGGTCAACGATTTAGACCATGACTGCTACATCGTAACTAGTTGATGATAGTTATATTTCAATGCATAAAGATCTGTTTTTCCGACTTTTAGCCGCATACAGGATTGATTTACCTGTAATAATCCCGCGAATTTTGTTGTTGTCAGCCACCCTTGAAGAATTGTTCCGTCGTTTGGGTATGATATTTTGTATATGCACACATACAATTCGTACGCATCCACAGGCAGTAGTATTATATATAAAAATGAAGTTGCATTTCCAAACAGAGGTAAGACGTTCACATGAGATCGCGAGCTAGGTTCACAGGTGGTAATAGACTAGCCAATCTATTTGCTAATTTCTCACCCTTTCCTTGTACCTCTATTCTTTGTTGCAGGCCTGGTAGAACGTGTGCATAACCTCACTACATTACGTAAGCAACTAATCCTACATAGGCAACAGGCTGGTAAGGAGAATGTGATGAACGCAACTCCTTCTATGTCATGCGGCTTTGGAATCAGTGTTGCCGATATTGCGAATCTTCAGTCCCCGCCAGGCGACGGCAGCTCTAGGAGAACAGGACAACTTCCATATCTGCAGGAGAAACAAGACAACTTACCAAACTATGGGATGAGCGCTGCAGATAGTAATGGCCACGCCTCTATACGATTGCATTCAGGCATCGTTGATCAGAACACTACATTATCGGACGCCTATTTTAAGGCAGTCCAAAGTGATAAGCAGACGAGATACAACAAAGAGCAACTAAATATCAATAATAACTACCTAACTACGGAACAACACGCGATAACGAATGCTGATAGTTTAAAAATAGAAAGAGATGGGAGGCTGAATTACGAGCGTCCGTTGTCAAGTTTGTCGACCAACTCTGATGCCACCATAATTGTCAACTGCATGGCTGAGTTGGGCGTACAGCAGTAGAAACGTATATTTATTTTATGTTGTTTTTGTATATACTGTAACCGTCATAGTTTTTGGATATATTAGTGGATAATAGTGAATAGATTAGTACATACAATCAGAAAAATGGGTTTGGAACAGAATTATTAATCAACATTGTGAGAATGGTTCTACCAGAGTTCCCTCACCTGTCCGTCAAAACCAATACCGTAACTAAAATGCTTAATGATGGATGGATGTGTCTAAGTTCTCTATAGTGAATGTTAAATCTTCAGCGGTGGCATTCTTCAACCGTGGGGCATAAAGCTGGGTTAGCATGATATGTTACAAAAGCGTTTTTACACCTTACAGGTGTTTGTAGTCCAAAGATATTATCCAAATATATAGAAGCCTGATGATTAACCGTCTCATTGTGAAAATAACCCTAACAAATTTTCACCAGTATCCATCAGGTATATATGCTTATACGATCCCATGGCGTTAAATATATCTAAAGCATACATTTGTGTTTTTGTTATTTTGCGAAGCTTCTGTCGATTTTTGTGACGTACTGAAGGATAACCCAAAAATAGAACTGGTTTAAATATGGAGTAGTGATAGTAGAAAATCTTAAATGAGCCCATGTAAAAGCTGAGCTTCAAAATTTACGATTACCTACACTCGTCGGAAAATAACAATTTATTCGTTCTTGCTTGTTAACAAAACTTAATAAATTTCTTTTAACTAAAAACCTGGTGCTCAATGCTTTCTTAGTCAACAGTTGCTGTTTCCGGGTTAGAGGCTGTTAATCGACAAAAACCTAGTTGACTTACTTAGGCCGCGTCACAACCACAACATAAAGGTACTGCCATTTACCGAATTACGGAGATCTAGAACTGGATAAACCTACTATATTATAATCGTACGTATACATGTGTTATATGCCATGATCTCATTGTGCATGCGTTCACAACCTACTAGAGGAGTCAACAATTTCGAGCTGGACAAGGTGTACAGCCATATTTTAACCGTTTAGAGTCAGTAATGCAAATTCTAATAACTGTTATGTCTTAAACATACGATGAAATAATAAAGGTATATTTCGTGTTAAGCATCAGTAGTGTTTTCTTTAATTTTTGTCGTACTGAAACATGTAGCGTTCGACGAACGTGTTTGCAAATGTCGTTTGTTACTCAGCACGAAACACCGATACAATTCGTGTGATATGAGTAAAAAATTAGCGCTCCGGTGTGTGTGGGGAAATTGTGTAGTGTTATTTGCTTGAGGGGTAGAAACACCCCAGGAAAAACTAGGCAACCGTACCTATTTAACATTTCTATCACTGTTCCCTTGTCTCTTAGTGGCTTTATGCATTCGTTTTGCATGTAATTTTTCCAGATAAGTGAAATTTACTAAGATTACTCGGAACATATCGTACTAACTTCAGTGTTTGATTTCCTTGTCTTAAGTATAACAATAGTGATAATAGAAATTTTAGTAATCAAAGAAACACATACTTATGGCAGTGTCAGCGGTATCTATTCCTATTAGCAGAACTATCACTCCTGGTTTATTTTAGCGTATAATTGTCATTTATTATTCACAATACGATTATAAATCGTGTAGAACGTTTTATTCCGTAGCGGACAATGTGACGATGGCGCACGCGAAGGTGACCGTGAGCGAACGACAGATAACGTCGTCACAAACGAAAAGATGAGCCCCCAATGTAGCCAGTTACCGCTGTCCTATATCGATGCATTTGAATTGAAAGTATATTATTGACGAAAATGTATACCTAGTAATGGTATACATTTTACATACACACTGATTTTCCTTTCAGTTCAACTGGTGAGAAAAGTCGATCATGTTTTTTGGACCAAAACACTGGCTGTTTCCGCTCTGTCGTACGCAGTAAGCTATACATTTTGGAAAAGTATTGAAATGGAAAGCGTGAAGTTCGCCCAATTCACGAATCTGGCTTGAATCCATTATTTCATACCACGTGAACTTGTCAAGGACGTGATCACAAACCTTGTCATCATCAAAACCATCGTATTTCGATCCGAATGGTCCGCTTCATCACTTGGGGGCCTACACCGTTTCCTGTCATGTTAGCTGTGAAAGCAATGGCAAAAACGCATGGCTATTTTTTAGTCACTGTAACCTATTACTTACTGAAAATCATTTCATTACCCTCATATCAGCGTATTACTTTGCAAGTGCTACGCCTTACAGCGCAACGCTAGCGTCACCCGAGCCTCTGGTTGAAACAGTTGAAACCAGGGGTTGCTGATCCAAGTCCGTCCTCTCCCCCAACGATGCATAGACACTACAAAACAATTAGTATGAGTAAAGAAAGTTACCTTTTTAACTGCTGCTCCTCACAGATAGAATCTCGCACTGAACATTTCGTTGATACGAGCTGTTTACGTCTTTGATTATGTTTACACCATCACTCATGATGGCAACGACGGAACGACCATATGGCTTCAAACTAGCTTTTTCTGTTTTATATGTCGTATAGTCACAGGCTTCTGTCTACTGTCAATGTTGCTACAGTATAATTACTTCGTTATAGGAATTGTTGCATTTCTCAAAGCAGCATTTTTGCCCTTCATTACTCTGTCTATGTTTTAACATAGGTTCTTGTGATACGATAACTAGCTCTAGTCCGTTGTTGATGAAGTTTTACACGGTACATAACGCTGCGGGCAGCGGACACACGAAGAGTTACAATTGCGGTTGTAATTATGTATTGCACTCCCTATGAAACCTATGTATACCGCCAAAGACAATTTATCCGCTGTAGACATTTTCTTATGTACAGTCTTCATTTGTCAGTTCATATACTGATCCGGACGGTTTAACAAGTTTCCTGCAAAGTCAAAAAAATATTGTAAATTTTCTTTTTTTCAAAAAACTAGACAGGGAATTCGTCATTAGTCATTTAAGTTACGGAACCGTGCTGGTGTCTCGAGGCCCTTCTATCGTCATCGATATGCTAGACCATCTATAATTGCTATACACTCAGAATAGCGTTTCATTTGATAAAGCTGCCGCTCTATATTGTCTTGTTACCTACAGCCGTTTTATTACCTTGGATTGGGCGGCAGCGGGGGTGGCAGAGGTTGATAGTTCTTCAATTGGCGTCGTCGTTACACTATTGCTTCGTTCATCGGCAGGTGTTGACACAGGTGATGGTGATGGCTCTCGTTCGGCCTTAGGTGCAACAGGCGTCTGCGGCGTTGTTACGTGTTGACTACCTGTGTTCCTTAAGGCTGTTGCCGCCGCTCCACAGACTCGATGGTGTTGTTCCCAATCCTTGTGCTGGCAGAAGGCTCCGCAGTAACGCGCCCAACTACAACCGCTGCATGTTTCGCTAGCGCGTCTCCCACAGTTGAAGCAGTTCTGTACACGGTGATGAGATAGAAAGGGATGAGTTCGTGCATTAGGTGTCCTCAGGAGGGATAAAATAATGAAAGGGCTCGAAACAAGTGCGAAAAAAGTTACAGCCGAACCAATGAATATTTATGAAAATTGGAACACTTTCTTTTAGAAAAAAAAAAATAAGATATCCGTTTTACACTTCCTATTATATAGACAAATATAATTATCTGACCTCTGTGGGTGCTGTGGCATCCGGTAGCAACTGAATGCAATCGACTTTGGCCCTTTCTGCAGCTAACAGCTCCGAGGTCCGTACCTCAGCAGCGGCCAGTGCTCTCTGTAGCTCTAGGACAGCGTGACGCTTAACCTCGGCAACTGCCTCCTCTGTGAGGGGAAAAGATTGGGTGAGTTATTTACTGCTTCGACTATGACCTAAACAAGGCTGCAATATTCCCATTTATTTCTACGCTCATCTACCTGCTTTTTTGCGTACTTCCGACACTCGGCTTTCGAGTTCACCGGCCGGGCTGTTGAAGGACATTGTCATCGAGGCCTGCCCGTACGGGTCGGAATATGGCTCCCTTTGCCGCTTTTTTTCTGAAGCCATTTCGCCACTCCATAGAGGAGCATCCCCAAGAGCAGTAAGAGTAGCCGTAGGTATCAATGTCTGACCTCGCTGAAGAGCGCAAACGGCACGTTTTGTCTTTTCCACCATGCCAACGATGCAATTCAACATCTGAAGCATTGACGCAGTAGTCACCTCATGTTACTTAAAGGTATCCTAGGTCGGTCAGTCTTGTATACGCGTGTTCAAGTCAAGCCTCGGCTGACGGGTCAGTTCTGTTCCGGATTAAGTCCGACGCCTTAGAAACGTTCACTTCAAGTTCCAATCAGCCAGAACGACTGATCTTACAAGATCTCAGGAGCAGAGTCAACACGTCAGCTTTAGCCCTCAAAGCCAAGGTCACGCATGTCAATTAAGCGCAATGCCTTTTTATTGAAAAGATAGAGATCGCTATTAGCAAAAAAGCATGTATTAAGGAGCCCTGCTACTAATGAAAAACGAACATTATATTTTTAATTTCTTGTCAGTTTTTATATGTCTGTTAAAAGCGTTACGCTTCCACTTACATTGTAGATATTCCTAAGAACATCTTCCATTGCTGTGTTGCATCGAAGATCAAATTGACTGGAGAAGTTCGGGAACAGCTGTTCTCTAGTAAGCACCTCATGTCGATCGCTAGCATCGAACGACCTTAAAGAGCCTTGCGTTAGGTACGCACTGCTATATGCTGTGGGCACTCGAATACGTTTGGAGGCTGACGAATCTTCTTTGGAGCGTCTATAAGACGAAAAAGAAACACAAAAGGGGTTCGGTCAGCATCAACTAGCATAATGTGGTATAAAGCAACGGCGTAATGTTAGTTTGGCTCCTACCTTAGTCTGTTAAGGGGGAATTAATTGTTGAATATTTAAAGCTGTTTTTTTTTTTTGGAATATACTCTACTATCTTTACTATTATATGCCATGTTTACCAACAAGTTTGTATATCCCGACGATGAAAATAGGTTGAATCCAGGAATGTATATAATTCAACTCGGCTCCATGAAGCACATTCGTTTGCCAAATGAAGCTTCTGTACTCCATAACAAATCGTTATTAAACCATTATGAGTTGCGACTCCAAGGTGCGAACGCCTACACTTGTACACATAATCGTTCATTCAAAATAACGTTGAAACTATCCAGTGGCGATGAGTTCAGTCAAGCAGTCCTCAAATTCTATATTGTTCCATTAAAGAATGAATTCTCTAAACAGGAATTAGGGCAAACTAGCCCTAACTGATCCTGGTTTGCTTCATATCATGAATGGATATTACTTTTTGAATTTTTCGCCAGAATAACACTTTTTATCGTTATCGTGTAAGCGATCAGCGTGGCATTAGTTTTGATTAGAAGACTTATCTACCTGTGCAAATGGGCAACCTGACCTGAAAGATGTGTTTGCCTTTTTTTGTTTTTTAGATAATTTTTGTTAATTGTTTTCGATGCGACGATTACTTTTATAGGCACCTTTCTGAAGATTAGTAGCCACCTTTCACACGAGCTAGATATAACAGAAGATATTTCATGCACCGTACTTTCTATTCGCATACACATAGTGTTCGCATATATTTGAACAAATCTAGGCGGGTTGTTTGTTTTGGCGGGCATGTGTTCCTACGCTTACGTTATTTTTCAAAGGAAACTAGTTTTTTCAGAATAAAACCACTACATATCACTATAGCGTAGACGTAAGGGACACTGTGTTCGAAAGATGAGCTTCTTTATAAGGAACCTACCGAACTTTATAACAAAATCAAGGGTGGATATTGTACCTAGTCTCGGCGCGGCTTCCGAGGTTTCGGGAACAGACTTCCATAAAATAAAGCGAAGAATTCACTATAAAGATTAAATTGAAGGGACCAGAAGGTTCTTCAGAAAGACGTAGCAAGGTATTTCTGCTTGTACCGAAATGTCTCGAGAGTAAAGAGTCAATTAACAATTAGCTTGACCATTTAGACTGCAGCGCCTAATTTCTGTTAACGTTTTTTATGGTCTTTTGCATTTATTGATCCCTAAGACCCTCGGCTTACTCCTGGCTGCGGATATTTATATTTGGACCTTTTGCGCAAGACTATACGCACCAATGTACTGTTACTTTTGCTCAGTTACTATTAAGAAGTTTCTAGTCAATCTGGAAAAAAATTATTGAGAATCAGCCAGGAGCGGTTTGGGGCCCGATTTGCCCCGAATAAGCACGTTCATAAGTAACTTTTCTATCAACTACCGCGTGAATTTCATACAAATGTCTGTCTTTATTTAGATGCAGTTTATTAACAAGCGGCAACTATTTTTCTTATTTCTTTCCCAACGCCGTGTGTAACAGTACCTACACGACAATCGCACTGGGACTGAGTTTATCTAGTTACTGCTCACTCACTCACATGTCGTATCGGGCTCGCTTTACTCCTATTGTCGCATTATCTTCTTTCGCTTCCGGATGGAATATTTCAAACGGTTCTCCTGCTTGGCAAAGGGGATCGAGAAGAAATGTCTCATTTGCTCGGAGATACTGTTGAGGGTTCTGCTTGACCGCGCGGGCTAGCGCCATCAGTTCTGCTTGCATTAACGGAAGATTAGCCCGAAGGAAAGGTACTACGAATGGTCGCAGGGGGTAGCTGGTGGCCTCCTGAACACGCGCCTGAAACTCTTCCACCGTTATATTACCACCCTGAAAAGAGGTGAGGAAAAAAGGGCGACGGACTGCCGTTAATCCGTGAGACTTGCCGTACAATTGAATGCGCCGAAAAGAGTCTTCTGCTACATCCTTGTGACTCGTTCACTTAATGCATTTTAATCTTAAGCAGACTTGTTAAGTGTGTGCTATAATTAATAACACAGAATAAGCCAGGTAAGATTTGCTAGCATTAAAATCGATTTAGTCTAAGAAATACTGCTTTCTACCCACTAGAGAATGAATCATATGTAGTAGAAAATGGCAATTACTTACAACAAGGGCAAAGATCAGATGATGGACCGAATCACCCACATCCGGCGAGATGTCGTTGCCGAACTGCTGCAGGGTGACCAAGAAACGTTTTACTTTAGCTACTTGGCGAACACCTACGGAAGAGCGATTCGGGTTAGTTGGCGCTGGGGCGGCTGTCCCAGGGCTGGTACCGTCAGCTGATTCTGGCCGTAGTGGGATCGCCTGCGACCCACCTGACACGACACCGCTCGACGAAGTCGCATGAGCCGTTGTAGGTGATGTGCATGCTCGGGGTCGTTCTGTCAATGTGAAAATTTCGGACCTAAACACATTATTGTCATGTGACATTTCAATGGTGCTCGACTGCTTGTGTTCTTCACTAATTTCCCCTCGCGCCAGCGTGATAAAGATGGGAAGATAGAAGCAAACAGGTATCTCAATAATACCTATTCCAATGAATCTTCGTTTGACAAAGGCCAGAGGTACCTTTAATACGATTCACATGATGAGATATTATTTAAACCATTTATATTTTATTATAATTCGTTTGTTTCCGTTATTGATGTTTGTTACCTCATTGTTATTGGCTGAAACCATTCTAAACTTTTATGGGCCAATTTGAATTACTATTTCGAGCTATTCAAATCTAAGATTACTATCAAGCCGGCTTTCTTCTTGGCTTCTCACGTCCAGCAGGTGTCAATATAAAGAAATTGTTGTATTCTATACAATATACCTATACGATAGAAAGAGCTTGTTGTACATCCCTGGATATAATATAACGTCTATATATGACGGACAATTGAGGCTTGAACTCGCTGGAGCAGCCGCAGGCATTTACAGAACGACGAAGTGTTCATGTTTTCTATTGTACTTAACGCAAAATACGAATACGGTGGAAGGTTTTTGTGCTCAGGTTATCTAATTGCTATGTACGTTCATGTGTCTTGGCGTGAATAGTCTCTGATGCTTACTCGGATTTTGATTAGTGATCAGGGATAAAACACCCGAGTATTGCTGATTAATTTATGTTGATATTCTTCGAAACAACCGTAATTTTTTTGTTCAATTCGATTCCGAAAACGATTTCTAAACACTATCAAGGTGCCGCAGTAAAATTTCCTTTGACACCTCCCTGATCAAGCTGCTAGAAAGCTTATCAGGACATATGGATGTGTTCTCCTGTCGTATCGGAACTTTCCTTAAATTGGTCAACATTGCCCTTATTACAGCTACGTCTGTGCGTCAAACCCTACTTGCTATATCTAGGATTAAATAGTGTATTATTTTTTTGTGTTTCTATCATAGAATATGGATCTGAAATGGGTTAACATTACTAGCTGATCCATTCGACCATTTTTATCAATTGTTGCATGAAAAATAACATCTCCGTGTAGTCCTATCATTGATTACCTATTCAATCAGGCTGCAGGTGTGGCCATCTTTGAGAATTCTATCGGCTAATCGATTCAGTAGAATGCCAGAGGCATTTGATCATTGCATTCATTATCATCCTGATCTTCGTTCACGTTTCTGCTCTGTGTTTTTGAATATTTTACCCATACAGACCTTCACATCTGACGTATTTATCGTTTTTTCTTGGAACAAGAGCCTGTTGTAACTGCTGAAATATCCTTGTTCTGATGGTCGAATGGAGTATCATTTGTACGGATCTATTGTAGTAAATTCCTCTCGGTGTATACCTTGCCACAGATTCTATATATACACACACACACTAGGGAGTTTAACGATATTACTCGTTAAAAATTTTATTTTGAAGGAATAAAGCTATCACCACTGTATTTGTGTAACGGTTTCAATTTGAAATTCGTATAATTTTGTGATGTACTCAAGCTAGACCATACGAGGTAAAAATTTCTTGATTTCTATTAGGATTATTTGAGGTTAGGTTCAGTTAATTAATAAATAAGCAAACATGTTACCGCTGTTATTGTCACACGAACTGGCTTAATTGTCTCACTATGATCAGTTCACCATCGAAGATACTTGTATGTAGCGGTATAAAGCTGAAGACAATATAGAGGTAGCTGACAATTCTTCTATTTATAATGATGAAGGAAGAATGTACCTATTTGTTTTTTAACAGCTTTCAATGAATTCTAAATTTTTGCGTTTAGTTGCAGTAATATATTTACCTCTCTAAGGTAATACTGGTTCAATATGTATGCATAATAACGGTATAATAGTAATTATTACTTTCCATTTATATAGTTTTTGTTATTGGGCCAATGGTATTAAGGATACGATCATTATGTGACAACGGCTTCTCTAAGATTTGCCATATTCCCGGTCACAATGAGTGACACCGTCTCCTGCGGGCAAATTGCGAGCATTTTCAAAAAAGCCCGCCTAAATAAGCTTGTTAAACACTGCACGGTTTCGTAGCTGACGGATCGAGTCGAGAATGCGTACGTCATTCGAGGGGCTGGAATCAGCAACTCCTGCTAGAGGCCCCTGTTGCTGATTAAGTCTCTGCTATTACAATGCAGAGAAGATTATGCGAATTCTAGTGGCACACTTGAGCAGTGGTTGAGCTACACGTAGAATTCTCTCTAAAAGAATTACTAACAAATCGTTGAAGGCATTGAAGAAGAACGCATTGGGCCTGCAACCTCCTTTTTTGTATAGTATAGTATGTACTATTTAGGCTTGGTTCTGTTGACAAAAGAGGCTACGTCGTAGGTCAAAGCTGTATCATATTCTACATTCACTAAATATTAAGGATAGCAGATCGAGTGGTAATCCTATTCTTAGGCACTGTGTTAACACAGCAAAAGGGAATACCAGTTCAATAATCGCAGGTCTAAGGCTTTCTTACTATTTCATGCAAAGGCCTTCCGTATGCGTCTGGGACAAAACCACACGAGAAGACAGTCGTAGTTCTACGTGAAGATTCAGTAATCTTTTCGTTAATTGTCTGACTCATGCTTCTCCTCGGTTTACATCCGTCTTCAGGCTCCTGAGCAGATTTTAGGAACTCAAGCCAAGTTTTTCGTTTTTTTTTTTTTTGGCAAGCAGTAAGCCCCTCATACTAAATACAATTAACCGAATTAAAAGTCCAAGCCCCAAATAAGCTGTAACTACATTTTGTTGCTATTTCTTCAGTCTAGCAAGTAGAACTTTATGTAAATCTAACCAGAGCAAATAGTTTGCATCTATCATGAATCGTTTGAATGTTTGTGTTAATAAATAATTGCAATATATTCGCAGCTGGATCTCCCTGCTCATGGGCGAACACATGAACCCCCGCTCATGGGGTTTTATCTTTGAGTGTCATGTATGCCACTGTTCATAAGACTATGGCCTTAATGGCGCATCCGTAAAAGAAAAAAATACCGAACTCCAATAAAATGACTGCGGTACATAAAAGGAAAGGATTATGGGTTTAAAATTGCTGAAATATCCGCGAGGTGAATATTTAAACAACTCTTATAGCTACAGATCGATTTGTAATAAGCGTGTGATAAAATTTAAGAACTTCGTCTCATAAAAGTCGATTTACGTTACTAGAACTTAAAATAAAAGGATTCAATAAAATTGAAAGCTAACAGGCAGCCGTCAAGTTAGTTTTGTTTAAAACACATTAGCTATTTAACAAACGAAGGGTCACAGCACGCTATCTAGTTATAAGACCCCAATTTTTTTTGTGCTTTTATAATTACGTTAATTTATAATAAGGCAATTTTGGCAGGTCACTTGTGGTCTGACGTATGGTCTTTGCAACTTGATATAGCCATTGTAGTGTATAACTAGGTAGCAAGCCAATGATTAGGTAAATTTAGCCGAAATGCAGCGAGAATTCTAAACACACTCTACACTTATCCTAGGAAAATTCTTCTGCTTAGAGAAGGGTCTAATTTTTAACTTTAAAAAGGGTAAAACTTTAATATATTGTTCCATAAATATTTTAATGCACTAGAAATAAGTTTTATACCCTATACGCAATGTATTGTTGCATATTTATTAAGAATCCATTGGATACTTCGTTTTTTTAAGTACACTACACGAGTTCGAGGGTGTATGAATGACAATAGCACATGCTCAGACATTGACAAATTACATTTATTGTTGCCGGTATTAGTCCACTCTATATTTGTGGTCTCTTTTTTTTCTCACAGCACATGTGTATTGTGGGTGTTGCACGCGTATACCTATATATGTTGCATGTTACAGTGTATATGGAGTTTGTGTCCGCTTGTTAGAGTCCGTGCGTGCGTGCATGCGTGGGTGTGCGTGCCTTCTTCTACCGACGACCAATCGTAGGTGCTCCATTTTTTCTGCCATTTTTTGGTATATCTCAATCTCCTTTCTCTCGCTCAGTCCTGCCTTTTTCCTTTTCATCTTGGCACTACCTTCCCCTTTCGGCCCCACCCCTCTCTCTGCATCGTTTACCTCTCCCGCCGTTGTGTCTAATATAGAATAGTATGGTAATGTTTACTGATGTTACCTTTGATGGGGACGTTTCTTGGGGGTGTCTTGTTTCGAGGAAGCAGAGTCCTTGGCGAGGTCGGAGGCGAAGAGCCGGTGGTAGTGGCCCCAACCTCAGCGCTGCTTTGCGGTTGCCCTGTTGTTGTAGTGGCAGCGGCTACGGCGGCAGCTGTGTGATCCTCCGACGTGGGTGCAAACGACGGTAGATTACTACAGCTGCCTTGTTCCCTACTAAGGTTTTCCCGTTGTTCGCCATCTCCGTCACTCGTTGTCGTGCTTCCTTCGGCCGCCGCCGGGGGGCGCTGTACCGCCCTGAGGGGTTCCGGAGGGCTCCGTTGATTGTAGTGGGTGAGGTGATGGTGCTGGTGGTTGTATTCGGGTGAGACCAGTCCCTTAGCAGCTGCGGCTGCCGACGCCAGCTCTGCAAGCCAACACAGCACAGCACAGCAGACTAGCAGATCCACAGCAGAAGACTAGCAGTAGTCCTGGCTCGCTAGTCTTCTTAGACACACGCTTATATTAGACTGAGATTCAGAGACAGGTTCACTCAGAGCATAGCGGAACCGAAACAACGAAGAAAGAAGGAAGAACGAACGATCGAGGTTTTCTCGGGTTAAAGACGGCGGCAGTGGTGGACGAGTCGTCGCGTGTGGGGCGCTCTGTTCGGCGAAGGCAAGTGCTCGTACCGTAAATGCACAACGTGCGGGGCTGCATTGTAAACGGGGGAAGGTGATAGGCAATGTATATAGTTGTACGCGACAACCTACGCTCCAGGCCCACCGACAGACCAATAAACCACCCTCTCTGGAGCAGGCAGGCCGTTCTTCGCACCACCCAACGAACCAGTTTGCCTTGTTGCCTAGCTGCCTGGTCGTCTGTGTTCCTGCTACTAGTAAACCTACCCAGCACCACTGGCTGGCCGTCGACTACGTGTGCTTACCAAGCCGACGGCTTGCTGTTTGAGCTAAGGCAAAGCTTTGGCAAGCTAGCAGCTCAGGCCAACGGCTCTCGACCGCCCAAGCGGTCCGATCGGCCTGCCCAACACATTCAGCTGTTCCGCAGCTGAGGGAACGCAGCTGACACTCGTACCAGCTGTTCCGATATTAAATTCTATACTGGGCTGTTCACTAGGCTCAACCTGGTCGCAAGTAGCAGGCTCCAGCTGGTGCTCAGGGTGGTTAGAGATACGGATACAGTGAGTGGGGTTTGGCCGTAGATCGTGGCTTAGGCACAGGAGTGTATGGAGTACGGAACAGGCTGTACACGACACCGGGCACTAGGGGGAGCTCTGTACACAAGAGCAATGAGGTGGGGAAAAGCAAACGGGGGCGCACGGGGAGAGCGGGCGGATAAACGGACACCGTGGATGCCATATAGGTCCCCCGTTGCCAGTACCATCATTACCAGCAGTAGCAGCACTACCGTTTCTGCAGACGCCCGTCAACGAGTGCACCAACTGACCCAACCCAGGCAAGTAAGTTAACGACACTCAGCAGGCAACCGAACTGGCAGACAAACAGCTAGCGACCAATCAACCAAACGCGCAAGCGGCGATAGCCGCAGCAGCGGCAACGACGACGACGATGATGTAGCCCGCTGCCTTATCGAGGCCCATACATGACGTTTGTACGGGAAGCCAATCGGGCTACGAGCACACGGCTACTGCCACGACGATAGAAGTAAACTAGAAAAGAAATGACGATACCTAAGGACGTTCGATCTTCCTTCCAATCTTCATGTAACGTACGAGTAAACTGCGCGCTGTGTATGCTACATCTCGATTAAGACATTGCCGTGAGAGCAGATTTAGCTTAACAGTCGAAAAGGTGTAAAAAAGAGCGATAGATCCCAGCAATGAATCGTTCCAATGTAATTCATTGGTGCTGTGCCGTTTGAACAGTTCGAATGAAAGGCAACAGCAATTCAAAGCGATAAAAGGATGACGCTGAAAGCTGCTATCCTTTAATATTTATCCTTGACAATAAATGTGTCATGGTAGGTGACAAGAATGAGATATAATTATTGCAGTTTACGTAGACTGGCTGGGCTACAATAAGTGCTCGAATAGTGGGTCACTGTCCATTGAAGTTCTTATTTTAAGTTTGAACCATGGCAAACGTTTGTTTCCCCTTCCAAAGCAGCTCAGGAGATCTTTGGCTAAAAACTTTTTGGCATGTAAACCAATACTCTAAAAGTCACTAAAGACAAAGTCCATTACGAAACAAGGCAAAACATGTTACGTTCTTCTACTACAAGATCTTGTAGTTGAGGATTGATCTACAAGATAATTTAACTATTGTAGAATATTTCTTTTCCTTCATATTTTTATATCTGATAGTATAGACATCCAGTGTAGACCAAAACTAAGTTGAACTATTTGTATCAGTTGGATATCGTTTTGGCCCATCTTTCTAGCCAAGGTTCGTTAGGAGCTTTTTCTTGTTGATGTTTTTCGATAGAGTTATCTATTGAAGGATATGGTTTATATCTATTTTAGTATTTTTGACAAAAACACAAACTCTGACATAGGGTAGATACAAACCTATATAATGTACTTTGATCTCTTTTGCGATTTCCTAGGAATCAGACAATAGACATTTTTATAAGAAGGAGCAGTTCTACGTACAGAATTATCATATCCTTCATTATTATTATTATTACAATGAAGCGGTGCTTCACTACCAATAGCGAAGGCCTTCGGAAATCAGAGAGCAACCTTCATCTACCCGAAAACGGCAACAAATGTTTGTTTCTTTATTCTAATGAAAATGCTAGCGGTGTCAGGTCGGAACCCAATATCTTTCCTAGCCCATTTAACAGCCAATGCGCTAAAATTAACACCCATTGCCAAATCTGAGAATTTTAATTTGACAGCATCTTGTTTATTATACTGCTGAGTCTCAATTCGTACGGTCACTATATTGTATAACAAGCGTGACTGTATAAAAGAACAAATAAAATTGTATAATAAAATGTTAACATAACAAAGTCAATTTAGAATAAAGTTCATTTGATTTAATTAATTAATTTTTTTAAGATATATAAGTTTTGCTGTTAAATGACTTATCCCGTGAAGCACATGTCCTTTAAAAGGCCAAGCTTGTTTCAATGTATATTATATTATTTTTGTATACTTATTATATTATATTAGACCAGACAGAATACATTGTTTCTTTGAATTTGTTGTTTTAAAAACATCAGGGCCGACGCTTTTTTTTTATTTTAAATAATGGGACACTGAGACGACAAAGCAATTAGTACACTGAGGCATCTCCCTGTTTGATGCGTTTGATCAATGGTGTCTGTTTAATGCATCAGCCTTCCCATACTTCTTTCATTATTCACTTACATACATTTATAAAATCGTCTTCATCGCTACACAGATGATTGTAGCTTCATATTGACAGGCAATGGGGGGTGACGTGTAAAAGATGTCCTGTCCAAGCAGATGGTAATACAATGAATTGATCAAGTCAGATGAGCCTGACATTGTCCGACAATTGTTATTTCCATTGTTTAGATAGATAAACAATTAGATATGAGGTCGCATCATTGATTTTTTCGCATGATCGATATCATAAAATAGCTATTTACTTATGGTCAAAGGGTGACCTAACTTAAAAAATGCTGAAAAAATTTCCGAAGCCTAACATCACACATGTTACCAATGTAATATAATGATAAAAAAAATAATCTGAGACATGGTTTAGTGAAAGGTTGAACACGGCCTCGTAACCGAATGATAATGAAAAGCGTGGCCGTATAAGGCTCAATTTACTCCCCAGATTTTTTTTAATCATGATATAATACACGCGCGACAGTGGTAAGCTTGCATAGATATTTGCAAGCTTAATATTTTGGCCAATTGCAAAGCGATTCCTACAAGCAATTAAGTTTTGACTTCAGAAGTTTGTTTTGGACGTCAGTACAATATGAAGTTAATGCATTTCTAAGTTTTGCTAATTCTGTAAACCCTGTCAGAAGTAGTCGGAAAGTCAACGATTTGTTGGGTACCCAGAACTTTTAAACACGTAATTAATGTGTGGGTTAACCTTCGGCGTATACCAGAACAACACACTGTTGCCACCATGTTATGTGAAATTTACACATATGTAAACTCTACGCCTCTGTATGCCTGTCCATAAACGTATGAGCCTATGCGTACACGTGCGTGCTCATATAAAACGCGTCCCTTGGTAACGGTATGGCGTCGCAGTTGGTGGTTCCTTTTAAAAGCGAATCATTACGAAGGCGAAACGGTGGAGAAGCGGACCAAGGAGGTAGTAGTCGGCCTGATGAAAGTTGAGCTGGATAAGTAAGAGACGCAAGGAGGGAGCGGCCTGCCAAGCTCAGCGGGGCAGGTGGCGCCTGGCTTGCTGGCAAGGCTTGAGACGAACGGTGGCACTTATACCATCTGCTCTGCGTACCAACAGCTGCTTCCACTCACACACACATGCACACCAACTTCAAAACTTCAACAACCCGGCTGGCGGCAACAACAGCAGCTGGCTATTGCTTGCTAGCGAGTCGCGCCGACGGGTTATAGGGAGTGGGGGTCGCTGCGTTGGGCCAATTTTAGGGTTGCTGCGTTCGGGGGCAAGCTGAAGGCGAACCAAGGTCCGTTTCGTGAGAACGCACGCTGCATTGCTCTCACCATGTCCCCTCGTTTGTCCCGTTCGGTGCTTCGTCCTGACCCGAACGCACTCCCACATGTCGTACCTTCTTTTACCACTTCTGTAGCCTTTACGATGGATAGATCTAATGTAATGGAACGAGCGCTCTAATTCGATGTTAATTTAGGGGAAAACGTTTCTATCAAGGATTGTTTTTGTGTTTACCATCGCTCAGATTTTATGGTGGCTGGTGTGCAGCAAACTAAAAGAACAGCACGACAAATCGAGGGTCTTAAGGTTTTCGTGTCTAACATACGAGCTAAGCATAAACGGGTGTCCGTTCAAATCAAGCGATGCGTCAAATAAGTAGAGTGTACATACGTTACGAGTTATTAGCGTAATTTTCATTGGCGTAGCAGCCATTTCAACATATTAAATCTCACTTATATAGGGGTCAAATGCCTACAGATAATCCCTCCTCTACAGAATACACACAGATATACTAGAGTGGCAGCCAGGAGATCCACCTAAAAACTAAGAAATTTATGTTTGATAGAAACTCAAACCACCGTACATCTATCAACTTATAGCTTTCGAAGTTCGGACTGCGTGGCGAGTCTTACGGCAAGCCCTCCTATAGGAGTATGTGAGGTCACTATACAGCCGAGGGAGTTTTGTCGGAAACACTATTTTCACAGGTTTTGAAAAAGGACAGCAGTAGTTCTGTTCTACATTTGCCTTCTGGTAGGATCTATAGTAGGAGTTCTATATCTTGTTATTATGACCATGTGTTATGTAAAAAGACGTTTGCCAACAAAAATAGTAAAAAAAAAAAAGCGTTTTGTTTGTTTTGGCAGGAGGCAAAATGACAGCTACCGGTTTAAAACCTTCGATGTGATCGTATATAAACACTTCCATTTTAAGGGAATATGCAATAGCTTTCGTTCTAACACTTAAGTCACGCAAATGAGTAATAAAAGTATAATGCACATGTCCTTTGTAATCAATGTACAGGGTACTTAAAAATTCAGTCGAGCTAACTGCAAGTAACTTACAGCGGTAATTAGTAAAACTAGAACCAATTTTATCACTCCGATGACTTGCAGATAACTGTGTATTTGCACGGCAAAGGGGACAAAAGCATATTTACCCTTTTAGTAAAAATGACTATCGAGAAGATGGTTAATTAATATTTGCAGAAGAAATCAGAAAGACAGTAAAAGATGACAGTAAAAGAGATTATTTCGTATGCCACAAAGTGATTTTTTTTAAATTGAACGTTTCAGTACGTTAGTATCGTGAAACTGACGATGATTAGGTAACTTCTGTGCTAACTTAATCATAAGCGTCGAAAGCAACCTGAGTTTCCTCGTTTACGACTGCGGGAAAAATTCGGCTTGATATTTTGTTCGAACGATACGTATGAATCATATGGCTGCTCATAATTCGTACAAAGCCCTTGAGCTCAAAGTTCAGGGAATGGTTGCCCTACCACGGGTCATCTGCCCTCGTCACATCATAAAATATATATACAAGGTGTATGTACACGCGGTGTATGTAATTATAACTTCTGTTCTCATTTATATAAAATGATTGTTTGAACAGCAAGGAAAGTCTAAAACGTGTATGGTTTCCTTAGCTCGCAGATGCTCAAAATTATTCTCGTTCTGATCAATGCAGTGCTGACTTTGGTAGGCTATTGATTCATAACTTTATCTAGGATTTTAAATTGTCCAGTGTCATCGATTTTCTTCCATGGGCATTATCTTTATAGTAGTCTAGGGAAGTTCCTCATTCAACTCATTTGTTTGGAAGATTCTCATCAAGATATGCTCTTACATCACCATCTGTCATTATCATCATCTGTCGTGTCTTTTGGCGTCTTTACCGAAATTCTTACGAACGCGTAGTAAAGCAGATTTTAGCGGTAACTGGTACCAGTCACCAATTAAAACTAAAACTACTTACTTTTATTATTACTTTTTCTGTTAAAAGGGTATGGCGTATTTATTTTTACAACCATTTTGTAGTTATACGGAACGTGGTGTCCAAGTCCGGATTTTTTTCCTTATACTTTGTCTTTGAGACTGTAACTAAGGAAAAAAATATCTTAACGATTTTTTTTCCATTTATTATAGATGGAATTTCTGATGATTATGATTATTTATCATAATTATCATTGACTGTAATTGAGGCTTCAATTTGTGACCTAATAATATACCTAACCGATCATCTTCGAAATATCCTTTCTTGAATCTGCGAGTCAATTTTTAGTAGTAATTGCGCTTCAAGCAACATTAGCAGACGTAAACTCCTTAAAGAATCGCTGAAATACGCTATACGCAAGATTTTGTTGAGTCCAATTTTGGGCTGATAGCAGGCCAAAGCTCCAAAAAATATAAGGCCTTCAAATATAAACCCTATTGGAAAACTTCCAGTTTGCCTCACGAAAATTTCCCTGATGTTTTTCGCAAGCAGCATGACACTCGGCAATAATGAATGTCCTTAGACAATAAAGGGATTTCGTCGTCTCGTAGGTGGTCCGCATAGCCAAGAGATTGATTAATAGTGGACCTTTGTTTAAGTTCTGGAGACGACGCGGTGCTTTTTCATCACAACGAACTTGCTGTTTTAGTCTCGAAGGCCTTGAGTTTTTTTTTGGTACACAAAAGTAGCAGATGAGCGTATGCCCGCTAGAGCAAATAACCGGCCAAAGGTTATTCGCAGTGAAAGGCCACACCGTATATGTACAGATTGTCCCCGAAAGATGTACACATTTTGATTTAATTGAACCTTTATTTTTTTAAAGGTATAGCCACTGTACCGTTAAAAGCCAGCCTACTAGTGACTAGAGAGTACTAGAGTGACCAACCTACTATAGCTAAAAACAGTGCGTCGTTTCCGGAATTTGAGCCAAGACATATATATATATATATATACTGTATATAAGACATACAGACTCTTTTCGTGTCGGACAAGTTTTGAATTTTACTGGGGGCACTAGAGCTTGAATTTTTTTTTGTTCGAAATCAACTGGCTTTATTATCGGCAGCTTTCATGCAACTTCTTAAAAGTCCGAGGAAACCTTCATGAGGCGAACCGGAAAATTTTTAGTGAGGTTTACAGAGGTAGGAAACTGAAAAATCTATATTTTGATACACCTAATTTTTTTCGATACAAATATTAGCGGTCGTTTTAAATAGGAGAATATTGACTGCGAATCGAATTTTCTTTGTAAATTTTAGTGTTTCTGGGACTTTTGAGCCTTTGAGTCGGCTTAAGGCCCTGCATTCTTGGAACTTCTATTTAGATACAGTCTAGAAAACATAGCATTAAAAATTCTCAATTTAGGCGCAATGGCAAAGAATATATATATTCTTTTTCACTGAATATATGATAGATGTCTATTCCACGTAATCCACCGAAGTCAGTTCCAAAATTCCCGTTAAGTGAGCGATAAAAATCTGCTAACTCTTTTGTCGGTTTAAGGAAACCTCAGCGATGATCCGGATTCGAAAACCAGGAGCAGACGAATTTCGTTTCAAGCTAGACGCCAGCCATCTGAAGCAATGCTCAGCGGCGGTACCGGACATAAGACTCTGAACTTTATTGATTACGCCAACACATATAGATAATATGCGACTAGCACGCGCCGTCATGGTCTCACCTACATGTCAAATGTTTAAGATAAACCCTAGTTACTCATTTTTTTGGGTATTTAAGTTCGACCATATTTCAGCTATCATGTCGTTTTGCCAAAGGAAGTTGACATTCTTGCAGCTTTGTTGAACTACATTTAAGTGGGGCCAACTGGAATACAGTACTTGTATACCAAATCTACGGGGTCAATTTGTCGACTACAGCGAGCCGCATATGTGCCAATAAAAGGATATTTATACTAATAATCTAGACATTAAGATAGACAACTGATGTAGAAGAATAACGGAAATACATAGTCTCAAAAGCCGCCCATACACCGATTCCATGGATCTAGAAAGATTTCAACTTACAGCGTCTCCGTGTAGCAGATACGATACTGTTTAGTACTTTCGTATCTGTCGAAAGAAACTTTTGCTACTCCTTAATATCATATTATATTTACTTTGGCCCAGTATGATGGACTGAATCGCGCGGTAGCTAGATTTTTTACCGTCGTCGTAAGGATATATCAGACATACTTTGAATTTAAGAACCATCGTCTGACAAACGATTAAACCCTTGAATACCCTGATTCATTTATATAGCCGGTCACAATCGAATAAAAAAGATTATTCGATTTTCTCTAGGGTGCTTGAGGTATAACTGTCAGTGCAGCTTTCTCGATGTCAATTGCCCAACTCTTCCAGAAAAAGGCGCAGATACGCTCAGAGCTTTTGGCATCTGTTTGTCCGTGCCGAAACTTAACGCGTCAGCAAGTAAAGCATCGCGCCTCAACCACGTGACCCCTTAGTAGGTAGTGGCACTGGCGATTGATCGGCATCTACGGCCTTTTTTGGCCAAAACGAATCGTAATGCTCAGCATAACTATTGTAGCATATCAATTATACAATATTATTTTACCGCTTGAGTTTTACTTGCGTCTTTCCAAAGTAGTGAGAATTGCCTATCAGTTACAAGAAAGTAGCTCTTTAGAAATCGGTAAATTAATCATCCGTCTGCCAGAGCTGAGTGTCTGTGTGTATCAACAACGCAAAAGTATCTACTTACCGGCCCACGATTTGAGTATCCTGAAGTATTGAAGGTTAGCAGCTGACGTGGACGATGAGCCTTTCGGAAGTTCGCTCGAGATCATTCTAACACGTGCACCTCTATATCAAGAGCAAGTCCATTGGTAGCACGACGAAAAGCCAAGGTACACTTTGTAGGAACTAGAATCGATTCACTTACGAGAACAAGTCCAAAGGATAGGATTATTATATATATATATGTATGTATAGAATAAGCGCGCGACCGAGGAGAGCGGTTCGAAAAAAGTGCCTGAATGAGGGAGCTCAAGCTCTAGTCTCGCTTCCAGCCACTATCGAACACAGCCAGGACGCGAGTGCACTTCGTTGATAAGCCCTACTCAGTTTCGAGGCTATTGTAGGGAAAGGGACCCTCAGCTGATCCCTTTCCCTTGAACCCTCTCTCATGTGGGGAGAACAACACTCTGCAGCAAACTAGAAAGCCACAGATATAGGCACCACCCCCCTGGACCATGCTAGGTGCTTTTTTCGGATAGAACAGGGCTAGCGGATGGATAGAAAGCTTCGATTGAAGTCACTGTTGCAATGTGCGCACTCAGGCGTCATCAGGAATCAAGAACGGCGGCATTATCCAACATTCGAAAAGGTTCAATGCTAAACAATATCAGAACTGCTCCCAAGAGCCACTAGCCAGAACATTAAACTGAGGCTGTTGGGAGTATATGTATACCTTAATAAATTTTACGTCGTATTGTATCTAACTGTGTAACTAACTGGTCAGTTAATAATTGATGCTCCAAACGTATCCATTTCCATAATTTTTTTCGTACCCTCGTCCGCAAATACAGCCAGGCAAAATTGCGTTCGTGATTCATTTGTTGATCATGTACCATTGGAAGACGACGCTGTTAGGCGCAGCTGCTTAAGATGCGGAAACTTCGTTGCTTATTTCTGGCAGCTTCCGGTTAGTTCCTACAGAGGTATCTCAAAATATTTTCCCGTGTCCTACCGACTCCCTACAGTGCCCTGTGATATTATATGGCGTGTACAAATACCCTTGCGATAACTACAGGGATCTTTGAACGCCTTGCGATTTTTCCTAGAGGTCACCAATAACCTAAAGTGTTCCATTCGTTTAACCCCCACCTGTACTTCTCAAAATTTTCCAGAGCTTACTAATTATCTGCATGAGCTATTGTAACCTTTTAGATTCTCTATACGTACGCGGTTTCTAGTTTTCTTTTTTCATTTTTCTTTATGGGTTTTGTCGAACACTGCCTTCTTATAAGTTAGTCAGTTTTGTATCTGATCATCGATGGTAGTTAAAGCTGTTTCGAAGGCCAAAAAACTGTAATATTGGTTCAGTTCTAAAGACATTCAATAAATATACAGTCGAAACGTTTCTCTGCAACGTGAAGTTTCTCATCGCTGATTCCTTTATGATGTAAGAATTGGCCGCTGGGATCATTTTAGGCTCGGGACTACTCGGGCATTGCTTAGATCAGGAGACACAGATTCATTCCATCACTTTGCAGAACTTCTTGTTATCAGAACTTTAATATTGTTACTATACGTGTCTTGCATCCCGTGTAACGGTAAATTAAAGCAGTCAAATTATTTGAGTATATCTCTAAGCAGTTTCTATTAGTTTCTTGCATTTACTTGAAAATGTTTATGCTTGAAAGGGAACTATACTGGTATTTAATACGCTCTACTTTTAAAACAATGGCTTACCAAGTACTAGACCCCTTACTTGAGTACAACTGGCAGATTATTTCGTGCCGTGCTATAGGTCTGTAAAATATCAACGTATGCACTATAGACGACATACAAAGCGCACACGTCCATATACGATAAACCTTCGTTATTTTTAACACACATATAAACTCTAACAGGCACTGTTACTTATGTCGATAGGAGCAGAACAAGCGTGTCTAATATTTATAAATTCACACAGTTTTTAACCTGGTAGTAGAATTCCTGCAAACGCCACTTGAAAATCTATGTTCTAGCTTCTTTACTAATGTAACCATGACACGGTTCTATATATATATATATATATATATATATATATATACAAAAGAGATTGTTTCGGAGCGCTTCGAAATGAACAGAGCAAATCTGGCGATTACCTCGTCATTAGGTCTGAGTGAAAAGGGTTCCAGTTTGCTTAACGTATTAACGTTACTTTAAGCGAGCAGCCGCAGCCCTCGTTTTAAGTTTAACTATTCGGCCACGTTCCATTCAAACAGTCACGGGAAAGGCTGAAGTTATGATTGGTTCGTTATGGTTGTATCAGCAATACAAATGATCACTTATACGTATGTTGTTGCTATGACCTTTGTCAAATAAACACAATTCTAGATTTGACCCAATTCTTTTTAATATTTCGAAGATAACTAATCTTCTTTTCGATAGTAAAGGAAGAATCCAAAAATTGATCGTCAAAGCAGCTTTGACTGTACTACTTACACTGAATCAAAACCTATTTGCATGCCAAACAAGATAAAAAAAAGTTAATCGTACTTTTAGTTAGTTATCTCCTTTTTCTGACCAATTCTTTCATTAATTTTTTTCCTAGGTCCTTTATCAATTGAACGATATCTATCATCGGTGGCTAATTTAAACAGTACTTGGTTTCACCTTCTTAGTCGATCCTTCCCGAGCATCTTTTTTCAACAACCAGTTCTCTCTCTATCTCTCGATTTCTATCTATCTATCTATCCGCTAGTTTAGTCATTTCTGGGCTGCGGTCGCGCTATCGGTCGCCCGTGGAAGTTGTAGTGCCGTTGTCCTAACCGACCGCATGCAGCCACTACCGCTTTGCTGCCTGGCCGCATGTAGATGGATGCAGCTGGTCGAGACGACGATGACGTCGTTGTTATTGTTGGTGGTGGCGCAGAGATGGCACAGCCGTTGCTTCGGGGCAGACGAGTCCTCGCAGTCGCCTCTGGCTGGAGCGAAGACTAGAAGGGCAACGTTGGGGGTTGCGGGGCAAGGAAATGGGTTCGTCGAAAGAATGAGCCTTTCGGTTTATGTTACTTGGAAGGCAGGGGTAGGATTGTTGAGGGATAATGGAGGCAAAGAATGGGGGCCATGTTGCGGGTGCGGGCAGGTGCAGTAGCTCAGGTGGGTTCGCAGCTGGTGAGCGGGCGTCACCTTCCCAAAAAGAACGCCTTCTTCTCCTTCCCATAGTCGTCTTCTTCGTCCGCCATTCGTCTGCCGTCTGGATATATCTGGTCGCGTTCCCAGGCAATTTTAGGCAAGAGCGCTGCTAGCGGTGATAACGGCAAACGCAGCAGCCGCAGCAACAGTAGTAGGGGCTATAGCGGCGCCGCTGGCATCAGCAATGGCTGGCGCACGGCCGCTGGACGCCCTTCTGTGCCTCTCATCGTTGTCGTCATCCGCCGGTGGTAATCATTGGCAGCAGGGGTGGTAGCGGGTGCATGCTCAGGTTTGTTGCTACCCACTTCTTGCTGTGGCACAACCATACCACTACGACTACAACCATAATCCAACCAACGACGGTGCTCCTGCCTCCGCCACCGCTGCTACGAGGGTGGGCTGGCTGACACTGTGAGAATTCCGACAGCGGGTAGCGCGACTACCCCAGCCGCAGCAATCAGCCGTCTTTCGAGCCGGCTAACTCCGAGTGAGGTGCTTTACCTCGTTCACTAGCTGCTGTTGCTGTCGCTGCCGTTGTTCGGCACAGAGCGTTTCGCGTGGGAAAAAACGGGACGCGAAAACCGCCGCTGTATCCTTATGGCACACGTCCACTTGGAACGTCGACGGCATGGGAAAGGAGACGATGTGGTCATGAACCGGACAACGCCACGAGAACCTTGAGTAGAGCGTGGGGCATTTCCGACACCAACCGATGGCCGAGTACGACCGTATGGGAAGAAGATCGAGATTGTACCCGACGAAAACAGACAACCTGGACCGTTCGCCGACGAGAAATTAAAAGGTGGCACCACAGCCATAGCTGCCAAGGTCACCTTCGTACAGCGCTATCACTTAGAAACACTTTATATGCAACCCTTTTCAAAAAGGGAGAGCCATATATCATATATGATTAGGCTGGGCTGAGCAATTGGCACAGTAGTTCTTATCTCAGCTAAATAGCGTTTATTTCCAGCGAATAATCTACACCCGATATTTAAAATAATAGTTAGAAATGAATGGACAGATAAGAAGAGATAGGCACGAAGCACTGATTTAAACCAGGAAGATTTTTTTTTACTAGTAACGCAAATTTTATTTTTAGGCAAAGGAAGTGCCAATATGTCGATGGTATCGATAGGGTCGACCTTAGTTGCAACAAGTTATACAAGAGGTCAAAATTTGCCAGTGGAATACGAACCTGTAATAATAGAAGCTCACAATGAGTACACAGAAACATCCCCTATGCAATTTCTAAGAAGAACTGAGGATACCAGTTACCACTAGAAACGTACCAGTTAACACTAGAAAAATCCAATTCACGCTTCGTTTACTTCATTATAGTGACTATGTCGCTCCAACAACTTCTCTTCTTTTCACAAATAACACTATCCGACCATACTAATGCAGGTATTTTTCTAAGAGCGTATCGGTTCGTGGTCCTTGTGGTTTCCGTCGCTCTCTGTCATCGTTAGTGCCTCAGTGGTTTGTCGACTTGGCATTGTTAAATAAGTAAGGCAAAGGCTAGCTTAACCTAAGTATTAGCCTATTATATGACCTATGTGTACTAGCTAGGCACTATGATGTCAAACTGAACGCGTTGATAAGAATTGTTTATGTTATTGTATTAATAACTAAGTGATTAAGAGCATTGAACTAAGTTTGGGTTCCATTCGGTATCATCATTGTCCGAGTTGTTACTATCAGCTCAGTAGCTTCCAGTGAATTTACAATATTATACGGATCATCGTGGTCACTGTGATCAAATTTACCAAATGGATCGTGCCATCTAGTTTTTTTTTTATTTATTACGCTGACAAAGCTAACCCACAGCAAGAGCGAATCGACAGGGTATACGGTGAAGACTTGAAGAAGATGTAATACTTGGAAACTGTATATGACGATATAAAACACTGCATTACCTGAGTGAAATCATTGAAGGCAACTTCTCCTATTTTATGTTGCCGGATAGCAAATGTTCCGCATCGTATCATGGATTTTCGGAAAAAGACGTACCTTATAGCGTAGGTTTCTGCCACGTTTTTCTCTCTTCGCGCTATCAGCCAAGTATAGTAAGTCAAACGTAAAGAGCGTATTAATGGCGCATTTTTAGGGAGACATCTTTGAACTACGACCAGCTGCGTATCGTTGCGTACAATTGCAATCGTCAATAGACTTTAATAACCTGACCCCAAAAAAAATAGATAAATTCACTCTGGCTGATTTTTAAAAAAAAATGGCAAACTTGATTGTTTACCATTTAATTATACTAACCAAACTAATGATTGAGTTAATAGAAAAACAAGCGTTTACTCTAATCATATCGAGTCGATGAAAATCCTTATTGTAGAGAACATGGATATTTTTAGTTATTTATTTATATACTAGATTAAAAAAGTTCTTGCGCTCTTTGGACTTCCTAGAAAACGGTATATTTTTTTTTTTTTTTATTTCTGTGACATTAGGTTTTCGTTATAAACACCCAATCATCTTCACGATCCTTAACTGTTTGTGAATAAATCTACTAATTGTTTCCTACCGCGAATGTTCA